AACCAGTAATGTTTACAATGTACCCGGAGCGTAATCCAGGCATATTACTCCACCTCCACTCCTGAGATAAGTGTCGATCCAGTGATGTATATTTCTTGTTTATGAATATGTGGATACTTGTATATGTATATGTGTATACTTGTTGTATATGTATATGTGTATACTTGTTGTATATGTATATGTATATACTTGTATATGTAAATGTGGATACTTGTTGTATATGTATATGTGTATACTTGTTGTATATGTATATGTATATACTTGTATATGTAAATGTGGATACTTGTTGTATATGTATATGTATATACTTGTATATGTAAATGTGTATACTTGTTGTATATGTATATGTATATACTTGTATATGTAAATGTGGATACTTGTTGTATATGTATATGTATATACTTGTATATGTAAATGTGGATACTTGTTGTATATGTATATGTGGATACTTATTCAATTTTCCTCATTGCACAATTGAATCAACATCGGCTACGACGCCAAATAAATGGTGAGCGTCTCATAATCTACATCTTAAAATAATTGATAATAATTTGTTTTTAATTATTTAATTAAAATTAGTGGGTTGGATCACATTGTAATGTGCTGACAGGTAAGTGAGCTGCGACTTGATCTGCAACTCATGGTTCGACCCCCCCCCCCTGGGAGATGCCATGTACTCTGACGCGGCACTTAATTAGTATCTTTAAATTAGATTTAATTAATTTACTAAATGGAGAAAAGATTTGATTTTCTTAATTATTAATGTTAATGAAACCTCTAAAGTTTGTGAGAATCAATTTGCCTAATGTGCTTTAATAAAATAAATAATAAATTAATTTAATTTTATAGTTAACCAGAATCTTGAATAAATGAAGATGAATCTTAAATAAATAAAATTGAACGAATCCTTCCCACCAGTAAAGTCTCCCACCAGTCAGTGTTACACTGTCCTTCGTAGTGGGCTCCTTTGTGAGCCCACTGTGAGCCCACTGTGAGCCCACCGTGAGCCCACCGTGAGCCCACTGTGAGCCCACCGTGAGCCCACCGTGAGCCCACCGTGAGCCCACTGTGAGCCCACTGTGAGCCCACTGTGAGCCCACCGTGAGCCCACCGTGAGCCCACTGTGAGCCCACCGTGAGCCCACCGTGAGCCCACTGTGAGCCCACCGTGAGCCCACCGTGAGCCCACTGTGAGCCCACCAAGCCCCTGATGCTCAGGGGCTTGGTGGTGGGGGCTCACTGCTCACAACCCAAAGATATCCCACATCAAATTCTGTAATGGTAACAGTCCCCAAATTTATAACAGCTGTGTGGCTTTTGGATAAAATATATATATATATATATATATATATATATATATATATATATATATATATATATATATATATATATATATATATATATATATATATATATATATATATATATATATATATATATATATCTATAATGGCACTGGATAAGAGAGATTTCATGGAACTAAATAAAATTTTAATGGTACTGGAAAAAAATGACTGGTACTGGAGGACAAAGGTTTGAGAGAGAGGAGGTCGACAACGCACCGCTGGCCGATGACGCTCCAATAATGTTTTCACTGTTTTGGGAAAATAAAATACGATGCCATGTCAATCGCCGATGTTTCCCCAACTGGAAAACGAACCTTTTCCTAACTGGAAAACTGACGTTGTCCCGGTTTAGAATAATAATATTCTCCCGATCAACAAACGTTCTCGAGGTCCTGAGTAATAAGTATTCTTTCGCGTCTGATTAACAAACGTTTTCCCATGTCCTGAGCAACAAATATTTCTCACGAATTTAACAACAAACGTTCTCCAGAGCCTGAACTACGAAGACAGGCTGAGGGAGCTAAACCTCACGTCTCTGGAAAACAGAAGAGTAAGGGGAGACATGATAACCACCTTCAAAATTCTCAGGGGAATTGATAGGGTGGACAAAGACAAACTCTTCAGCACGGGTGGGACACGAACAAGGGGACACAGGTGGAAACTTAGTACCCAGATGAGGCACAGAGACGTTAGAAAGAATTTCTTCAGTGTCAGAGTAGTTAACAAATGGACTGCATTAAGTAGTGATGTGGTGGAGGCTGACTCCATACACAGTTTCAAATGTGTACATGATAGAGCTCAGTAGGCTCAGAAATTTGTACACCTGTTGATTGACAGTTGAGAGGTGGGACCAAAGAGCCGGAGCTCAACCCCCGCAAGCACAACAAGGTGAGCACACACACACACTAAACGAAGCAGTGCCTGTTTTTCCGGTTGAGTTACACAGAGGTAATGACGGGCTGTCCGGTGCAGTCACTCGCTGGCTGCTCAAATTATGGCAAAGAATAAATCTATTACCAGTTGACTGCTCAGGCCGGAGGTCTGATGACACAGCCTATGTCCTCCCTCTAATGTTACGGGGGGGGGGGGGGGGGGAGAGAGAGAGAGAGACACAGAGAGAGAGACAGAGAGAGAGACAGAGAGAGAGAGAGAGAGAGAGAGAGAGAGAGAGAGAGAGAGAGAGAGAGAGAGAGAGAGAGAGAGAGAGAGAGAGAGAGAGAGAGAGAGAGAGAGAGAGAGAGAGAGAGAGAGAGAGAGAGAGAGAGAGAGAGAGAGAGAGAGAGAGAGAGAGAGAGAGAGAGAGAGAGAGAGAGAGAGAGAGAGAGAGAGAGAGAGAGAGAGAGAGAGAGAGAGAGAGAGAGAGAGAGAGAGAGAGAGAGAGAGAGAGAGAGAGAGAGAGAGAGAGAGAGAGAGAGAGAGAGAGAGAGAGAGAGAGAGAGAGAGAGAGAGAGAGAGATTGAGATGGAACTAAATCTCATTGAACATCAGACTTGGTTTGTGACACTTAAGAAGAATGTTACTAAACTTCTCTGAAAG